CTTCGTATGATACTTACATGTAGTTTTGTATAAAATAAGTTGAATCGTAGTGTGATTTCTAGGAGTTGAACAAGCACTGTATTAAGCAGATGTGTTAACTATATAATATAAATTAGGCATTGAATATTTACATATAGTATGTTTATAAATAAGATTCATTGCTGTGGTGGTGGAGGGAATTTTAAAATGTTATCTTCCTTGAACTGGCCGGAAAATACTTCATTGAGAAGAAGAGAATTTAGAAACTGCTTAAATATGGAAGAGAAAGATACCAGTGAGTACTAGAAGATGATTAGTTGCATTGTATGGTCGAGGAGATATGGTAGGGTTAGGCTTTTCAGGCATGGTAAGGTGCAGCTTCAAGAGGAGAGTTAAAGGAATAAGTGGGCAAGGAAGAGGTGTCAGGGGTTTGCCTGCTTTAAACAGATCTGTCTTTATACTCATGTCTAACTCCTTTTTTAAGTTTGGGATTCTTGGCACTAGCTGATGGTTGATCCATATAGGTTTATATTTCACAAATGATGCCTGTATAACTTTCTTTTATTCAAATAAATTCCCAATGTTGGCCCCTGATGCATCTCTTTTGGTATCTTTCAGATACTGAGCTTAAGGGCTTACCATACACAAAGTATATTCTTAAAATCTATATTATAGAATTACCTGTAATCTTACCATACACAGAAAATCACTGTTAATAGTTAGTGTGTCTTTCAAGCCTCTTTTCTATGTGTGTTTGTTTTTAAAGTAGAATTATAGTATACATACTCATTTGTAGTTTGTTGTTTTTGCATAATATATCAAAAAGACACTTTAGCATTAAATATTCTATAAAATGATTTTAATAGCTGTATAATATTTTATCATAAGGAGGTATTATAATCTATTGTTAGGAATTTGTTATTGCCACCTTTTTACTAATTTTTGTGATGGACAGATGGACATTCTTGTATGTAGATCTGTTTTGTACATTTCTGATTGGTTTTGGTATAAATTGCTGAATTTCTGGGTGAAAGAAGCAATTTTGCACTTTTGATATGCATTGGCAAATTGTCCTCTAAAAAGGTTAAAATAAATGTCTTTTTATTTTTCTTTGCTTCTTCTGGTTTGGCAATATAAATTTCTCTTTTTTATCTGCTGGGGTATATGTGTGCTTGCTTTTAAAGATGCTGAATTAAGAAATTATTTAGAATTTAAAAAGATACACTTTGTATGGAATGTTTATTTACTTAATCTTACTGTCTTTCTCTCTAGGTATTTTAATGGTCTTACTTTTTTGATCTAATCTCATTTAATTATGATTCTCATTGCTAATAAAATATGATTTGAAAAGTAAGAGGAAATATGACTATGGTACTAGTTTTTTGTGGTCAAAAGCCAAGAAACAGAGTATACATAACTTTGCCCTCTTGCCCTTTGGTGTTATTGTTATTGTTAAAAGGAAAAATGGGGCAAAACATGAAACAGAACAATGTGATAGATGGTGTGAAGGTTGTAGTGACAAGACACCAGAGAACAGACAAAAGAGATCTCTAACACAGCATTTCCTTTCTTTTGTGATTAGCTATATAAACCAGAACTTTTTTCAACCTTATCTGTTTATTAGTTTCAACGGTCTAGGTTATATATTGGCATCATTTTAGGAAATAAGTTTACATTGAAATATGTAACATGTTTTAAAATGATTTAAGAAAAATCTCATAAAATTTATATATATTTCTTAGGATAATAGATAAATAACTTGGATTGCTATAAAAGATTCTTATTATGAAGTACTGTTACTGTCTGTATGGTTGAAATGTCAGAGAACTGAAAAGATTTTCACTAGGCTCAATGAATCTCATTTGAGATTGTCGGTTTAATGAAATCTGTTGCTTTTTGGGAATACAATTTGTTCTTTTTGGGCATTCTAAGGACTTGAAAAAAGTTGAAAATGAGGATATATATTGACAGGGTGCCAAAGCGGCATCTAAAGCTGATTAGAAATTTGGGCTTAGTGGCCAGTAACATGTTTTTACCCTAACTTACTTTGTTTGATATGAAGTAGGCAATTTGAATTTAAAATAGGGGTTGGCAAAACTATGTTCTATGGGCTGAATGTGGCCTGCCACACCTGTTTTTTGTATGGCCTGAAAACTAAGAATGGTTTTTGCATTTTTAAATGGTTAAAAGAATTAAAAGAATATGATTTTGTGATTTTGTGATGGGAAAATTATAAGGAATTCACACTTCAATGTCTAAATAAAGTTTTACTGGAACACAGCCGTGCTTATTCATTTATATATTGTCTGTGGCTGCTTTTGCACTATAACGGCAGTGTTGAGTAGTGACAGAGACCACATATGGCCTGCAAAGCCTAAAATAATTTACTTTCTGGCCCTTTATAGAAAAAGCTTGCTGATCCCTGATCTAGAATTGTATAGTCTAATTCACTTTTAATTTTGATTTAGTATATAATCCTGAGGAAATCATTTTCTTTTTAATTTTTTTTCTGAGAAACTTGGCAGATAACGTTCAGTGGTGAATGCGGATCTCATAGTTATTTCTAAACTCGTTTTTATATAACTCTGTTGTCAATCTTATTTAATGATATAGATCACTGACTCTCAAATGTAATCTTCAGATCTCTGGGTGTTTCTGAGATATTTTCAGGGAGTTCATAAAGCAAAACTATTTTGATCATAATGCCAGAACATTCTTTGTCTTTTCACCATGGTGACATTTGCCCCGATGATGCAAAAGCCGTGGTAGGTGAAACTGCTGTGCTTGGTCATGAATCAAGGCAGTGTCACCAAACCGTAACAGTACTCATTGCACATACTTATAAAACCAATGCTAATTTTTCCTAAGTAGTAGAAACTGTTAATTTTATTAAATCTTAACCCTTGTTACTTGTCTTTTTAATATGCTGTGTGAAAGAACGAGAATTATACATAAAGCACCCTGCGTCCTGAACTACCATGGTCGTCTGGAGGAAAAGCACTTGTGCAGTTGTTTGAGCCATTAGCTGAACTAGCTGGTTTTTCATGGGTCACCATTTTGCTTAAAAGAACAATTGACAGACTGTCATTATTCAGACTTGTGTATTTGGCCCATTTTTTCTTGAAAGGGAGTGAAGTTAGCTGACACTTCAAGGAAAACAACTGATATTATTTGTTGCCAATAATAAAATTGGAGTTTTCGATTCAAAATTAGGATTTTCCGATAACCTCTGTCTGCCACTTTGGGTTTGACAGTTTCCCAGTACTTAAAGAATGTTCTGATGAGATTAGTAGATAATGAAATGTTGACATGTAATTTTTTGGGATAATGAAATGTGCTGTCAACCTTTGGAAGATCTTTGTAACTAAGGGAACCAATATTTTCAGGATGACCAATGGGTGATGTTATAAATTCATGCACAGGTGAAAGATCCATTCAGTGTGCAAGAGTGACCAGTGGATTTGAATGTAACAGAAACAAAAATTTCATTCATAGGATTTTATATTCCACATTACAACTAAACTTTAAAAAACTGTCACTTGTTGAGTTTTGGTGTAGTATCAGAGAACAATATTCATAATTATTTGAAAAGGCTAATACTTGTTTCTTTTTCAGTTACATTATCTATGTGACATTTCCTTCATATCTTTCATCCGAAACAACATATGACAACAGATTGTGAGCAGAATCAGATATGAGAGTCTAGCTATCTTCTGTTAATCCAGACATTAACAAGATTTACAAAAATGTGAAACAATGCCACTTCTTTCACTAACTTTTTTTGTTTTGGAAAATATAGTAATTTTTCATAAAAATTATGTTACCATGTAATGGGGCTTTAATGCTTTATTTTAAACATTTCTAGACTTCTTTTCTAAATATCAGTATTGGTATTTAATAAATATTCACAGATACAATTCACATGAACAAAAGCTTTGTAGAGTCCACAATGATTTTGAAGAATATAAAAGGCAGTCCTGAGAGCAGAAAGTTTGATATGTATTATAGATCATGCTCGTTTACCATGATGTCAGTTATATGAACTAGGAGAAGGAATTTTTCACTGCTAAATAATTCAGTAGCACCTATTACTTATTTTTTGTCTGAAAACTAAGGTGGAAAAATACCTTTCCAAAAGCTTGTAGAAGAGGTTAAGATAAAATGTCTAAAAATTCAGTCTTTAAGAAATGCTAAATAGTATACATTTTCCAGATATGGATGGCTACCTAAAAGCACACTTCTGAGGACACATTGTATAGTTGTTATATAGTTACAGGTTGAGTATCTCTAATCTGAAAATCTGAACTCTGAAACACTTCTGTCCCGAGCATTTCAGATGAAGGATATTCAACCTGTTTATATAATTGTTATAAAAGTTATAATGATAGTCTATTATGCTTTATATGCATTCACTCTATTCCTCATTTAAAGTCTTACATAGTGAGTAATACTATCAAGTAACCTGCTATTGGTCACATAATGAGTTTTAAGAGCTGGAGCTGGGCTTGGTGGCTTATGCCATCTAAGCTACTCAGGAGACTGAAGTAGGAGGATTGCTTGAGCCCAGAAGTTGGAGTGCAGCTGAACAACATAGCAAGGTGCTGTCCTCAAAAAAAAAAAAAAAAAAAAAAAAAAGAGAAAGAGAGAGCACTGAGATTCAAGTACTTTTTCCTTTATCAAAATGCTATTATTTATAGCAACTGTGTGTACAGGCAGCAGTTTTCTGTAAATAGCTTACGGGATCTTGTGGTAAAGGTTCTTTTTGACAACCAAACTAGATAAAGATTTGTCTTCAATTTTAGTTTGATGATTAAGGCAAGAAGTTGTCTTCCAGAGTTACAGAGAGACAGTAAAGTCAATGGACTAAGCCGAAACAAATTGCTAGACACTGACTTCCATCAGTAAATTACAGCCTTCCAAATTGACTTGGATAATACGAAAAATGAATAATTAGTATGATTTGTATTCGTTTGGCTGATTCTCAATTTAATATCTGTTTACTATTGTGATCATATTTCTAGGCTTCTCCAGTGACAGTGATCTGATATCTCTTACTGTTGATGTGGATTCTCTTGCTGAATTAGATGATGGAATGGCTTCCAATCAAAATTCTCCCATTAGAACTTTTGGTCTCAATCTTTCTTCGGATTCTTCAGCACTAGGGGCTGTTGCTTCTGACAGTGAACAGAGCAAAACAGAAGAAGAACGGGAAAGTCGTAGCCTCTTTCCTGGCAGTTTAAAACCCAGGCTTGGCAAGAGAGATTATTTGGAGAAAGCCGGAGAATTAATAAAGCTGGCTTTAAAAAAGGAAGAAGAAGATGACTATGAAGCTGCTTCTGATTTTTATAGGAAGGGAGTTGATTTACTCCTAGAAGGTGTTCAAGGTATGATTTTATGTATATTAATATGTTTTGGCATGCTCTTGTTGGTACATGGGAAAAATTACATACATATATCTTCTGTTTAGTCTTATGGAAATAATACTGAAAATGAGAAATTACTGAAGCTTAAAAGACCTATGTATGGGTATATACTTTAAGTTCCATGAGATGTTAGACATTATTGGAGGTGCTTAACCCTCTATTTTTAATCAATTAATCCACAAAAACAGGATTAAAAAAAAAGTCAACATGTCTCGAAGTCTCTTGTATGAATAATAATCTTTCTTTTCTGACTTGAAAAGGCAGTGTTTTACTGGCCTTCATCTCTCTCAGGAGTAATTCACAGAGATTCTTGATGACCTGAAGAGACAAAATGAAATGGATTTTTAAACTAAGAGCATAAAAGATTCTTGGGTTTGCCTACTATTCTGTTCTCTGTAATTGTAGTAAATTCTCATTTAATTAATGGAGGTGATGTGGGACATGTAGAGCTGAATGTAACTGAACATCTATATATAGAACTTACTTTTTTGAAGTATTAGCTATTGTTTTAACCCTTAAATTTTTCCTTATAGAAGCAGAATGAAGCATTCTGCGTTTAGTTACATGACTTTTTAGATGCAGTATTCAAAGATTGATACTGACATTCTTCCAGTGGTTTCATTTACAGAAAATAATCATTTTCATTGTTCTGTGGTCTTGGATTTGTCAGTACCATTCAGATTATCAGTCTCCTGTATTGCTAACATTTTTTAACTACAGTACTTCTCATTATGCCTAGTATCCTGTAGTCCAGAAGCCTTTTGTAATTTCTGGAGTATAAACTTTCAGTTTTATAAAATGGTGTACCTGCCTGTTTATGGAGGGTCCTAACTGCTTCTTAACCAGGATTTTGACCATTTCTCTTATTTTTAGGTTTCACGCCCACTTCCTGATGCCAACAATTCCTGAATTTTTGGAGAGTTTTACCATGCCATGTAAATCAGGCAACTCTCTTGATTTTCTTTCAGTAACCTCTCATCCATCTACCTTTTTTTTTTTTTTTTTAAAATTATATTCCCATGGCAGCTTTTATATTCTAAAATTTTGTCGCTGTTACCTTCTCAGTTTCTTTGTCCTTATGGGGTTTTGTCTTAAATAATTTTTTTGACTGCCGTGTTAGTAAAGTTTCTGGAGGGAGAATAGCTAAAGAAATGTGTTCAATTTGCCATCTTCTACTGGGAATTCAGATTTCACAATTGCTACTTAATTTTGATGGGCCCGAGGATCAAACAGCTATTAATGTTTTGTGTGTATGGCAATAAGAGGAGCTGGAGTCTTGTTTCTTTTTTCACTAGTTATTGTCTCACTGAAGTTGCTAATATAACTATTTGGAACCTGTTAACACAGTTTCAAATAATTGATTCTAAATTCATTTCTCATTAATTTTGTCATCTTGATATGATTATATAATAGCTATCACTTTTAAGGTTTCTAATTGATAATCTAATTTTGAAGTTACTTGTTTTCCTGCTTTGATGGAAAGATCATTTTCATCCTAATTTTATTTTTCAAATGGTTTTATAATGTTAGGTTTTTTTTTTGTTTTTTTTTTTTTTTTTTGAGATACAGTTTCATTCTGTCACCCAGGCGGGAGGGCAGTGGTGTGATCTCAGCTCGCTGCAGCCTCTGCTTCTGGGGTTCAAGTGATTCTCCTGCCTCAGCCTCCGTAGTAGCTGGGACTACGTGTGTGTGCCACCATGCCCGACTAATTTTTCTATTTTTAGTAGAGACGGGGTTTCACTTTGTTTGCCAGGCTGGTCTTGAACTACTGACCTTAGGTGATCTGCCTGCCTCGGCCTCCCACGGTGCTGGGATTACAGGCGTGAGCCATCGCACCCGGCCATCTGTTGGTTTTTTTGTTTGCTAGTGGAGCATTCTGGTCTTAAAGATTATTCATTTTTATTCTGTGCCTTAACTGTTATTTTAGGTTGGGAGTTTAAAATCGGTATGAGTTATAAAAAATTCCACTCTGACATTTTTCCATTTCTTTTCAGATAATTATGTGCTAAAACATCACTGGTGTTTAATTGACAAATAAAACATCAGTGTGGTCAGTGTGACATTTTTCTAAGTTATTTGCATTTAATCTTAGAACATTTCATAATGTTACCACTTGATGGCACCAGAAAAATAGAAATCTGTGCTTCAGAATGAGAATTATAGATGCATGTCAGAAAATAACAAATAATGTGTCATTTGGTTAGTTACTTTGCTGATTATGGTGGTGAATTATTTCTCCACTAGAACTTGATACCAAACCTACTAGACTGCTATCGTAAGGAGCATTACCATTTAAACATATATCTCCTATTTAATGCATGTTTGTCTTTTTGAAACCACAATATCCATTCCTGCTCTGGATTGGTTTCTGTTGTTAATATGTCACAATTCCAGAAGTTAATAACTGACTAAATTGATTTTAGTCTTTTATTGTTTATTCATAATGTGATCAATTTGTATTCAGACAAACTATGGGAACCACAATCATAGAAATCTAATTTTTAACCGGTATATAAAAGAACCTTTGTTTCAGTCCTCCTGGTTACACATTTGACCCTGTGTCAAATGTAAGGTCAGGACAGTGCTTCCAGTCCATGGATTCTGTACTAGCATACTAGTCACCATCTGACAGACATATGGACATTATCCTTCAATTTCTGGGGAAACTGGAGGCTCTAGTTGTGAGCTTGATTTGACCTTTATGCTCAGAAGAGATGTTTCCTTGGGTGAAGTTTGTTCTAGGGTGACAAAACTATTAGTTAAATATCTCTATAGCCAGTAAAACCTATGAATCATTTAAATTGAACCCTTCATAACATTTGTTCTTGTGACCTTTATTGGCATGGATTGGCATGCCTTATAATAAAAAAAGTATTTCTGGATATCTGATAATTCAGAGAAAATAATCTTTCAGAGCTAAGTAGTGCTTTATACAGATTCTTGTGAGTTGGCAAATTTTGTTATTTTGTTACTAAACTATTCATCCTAAAGAAGTTTATCTGGGTTGTTAGTAGGTCTGATAAAGATGGCTTGATGTTTTTCTTATTTAACTGGTATTTGCACAGCTGAGACCACATGCAAAACACAATAGCAACAGCTCTCTTTGCCCATCCGGCAGAGAATAAGTATACCCTGATAGTGGTAACTTTGAATTCTCTTTGAACCTGACACTTCACTTACTGCCTTTTAGAAATGGTTCTTGGAATGAAGGTACTGTCTACTCTTCTAAATTCTCAGGTCTTTCTGGATTTAAGACAGAAAATCCAAAAGTCAGAGTTGAAGGAATCAACTTGAATTTTTGAAAAGGATGTTGCAATATATATCACACTTTTCTGTCCATCTTGTTTATATATTACTGAAAGTGGCTGATATGATTAATCTGTGTGTGGGCTTATTGGAGTTGTTGTGATAATATAAAGTGACAAATGGATTACATAAAGGTATTAATAAAATGTTTAAGTAATTTATTACATGCCTGTCACTGTACAAGGTATTTTTCTTACATTATTTTTAATCTTCAAAAGAACCCTGTAAGTTGAACTATGACTGGCCATACTGGACTTTGTCTAAGGACACCAACATTTAGAGGGTGCAAACATTTAATATAATGATTCTAAAAGCTTGGCACCTAGTTAGCAAGAATAATTATTTAAAACAGGAAGCTACCAGATGGCGAGCATTGTTAGTAACACCCATCTGTGGGCTACATTATGAATTACAGAGTTGATTTGAGAGCTGGTTTTGTGTAGTTTGTTCCAGGTGCCAAAAGTACTGGTTTGATGTCTTTGTAAGGTAGATGTTGTGATCCCTGTTTTATAGGTGGAGAGAACTAAGACTTACATAAATTAAGCAATTTGCTCAAGGACACAAGCCAGTAAAAGTTGAGCTACAATTTTAATCTAGGCCTTTTCTGAGCCTTAATCGTGTCTTCTTCGTATTGTGCTGTACTACCTCTCACATGTTCCCCCTAATTAGGTTAGCATTTTAAAATGGAGAAGTGGGAAATCCTCTCCATTGTCGAATATTTGAAAACTTTCTTATTTTGAGTATTTGTCATTTTTCTTTCTATCGATTTGTTTGTTTTCACTCAGCCATCTATTCGTCTAGTTGATCGTTCAACAAGTATTTATTTCTTATATGTACCTGGCCCTGTAATAGGGAATATAAAATGGTTATTTTCTAAAAATATAAAAGAAAATTGAGCAGTGGCCCTTCAAGAAGAGATGTTTCTGTTAATAGCATGCTAATATGACCCATGATTTTGTATTGTATATCTTGTTGAAAATATCTGGTAGATTTGCTGCCGTAGTCATACCTGTTGCTTTTCACTTAACTTGATGTTAATGCCCCACTTAAAAAATGCCCCATTATTTTCCCCTGCCTTTCTCACTCTTTTTCTTTTCTTCTTTTCTCATTTTCTCCCTTCCCCTCTCCTTCCCTTTTACCTCCTTTCCCCTCCTCTTCTCTTCTCTTGCATACATTATGAGTGAAATTTCATAATATATTTCTGGATATTGTTGATATCCAGTTTTTCTTTGAAGATTTTATTGGTATTTTTGACCAGAGAGACTATTTTTAATATTAGTACTCAGATAAGAGATGCAAACATTTTCATTCTGGTAAATGGTATAATAAGCAGTACCAAACCCTTTTTTTATAGTTTATTCTTGGGTAGATGTGTGCTAGGCTGTCAGGGATGTCCAGATGTATTTCAAACACCATGACCTTATGTGGAGCTTGGACCATTGATTTATTCCATGAATAAGAGTTATTCAAATATTTAGAAACCCAAAGGATAAAGTTTTTGGCTTTGGAAATAGATGGATATATGAAAAAGGTAGTAAGTTTAGGTTTCATAAAGGGAAGCAAGTCATATAATTTTGGTATTTAGGGGATCCTAGAACCAATCCCCCGTGGATACTGAAGGGCAACTGTATAAGATTATATTCTGAGAATAGAGG